ATTGCTGGAAAAGCTCAGCAGGTCTGGCAGCATCTGTGGAGAGAATCAGAGTTAATGTTTCAGGTTGAGTGACCCTTCCACAGAACACCGTTTTGAGGAAAGGTCACTCAATCTGAAAAGTTAACTCTGATTCTCTCCACAGATGCTGCCAGACCTGAACTTTTTCTAGCAATTTCTGTTTTTGTCTGTGATGAATTTGGAAGTTGAATAGGGACATTGCAGTAGTTTAAAAAGTTATCAATCTATACTGCTATCAAGGGTGGGGGGTGTATGGGGGGAGGAAAAGATAAAGGTACTCGAGGTGGATGGTGATGAAGATGTGGTGTGGGGTCCCTAACTGGCTAATCCTGGTGCAAATTTCCTCCATTTTGCACCTTTTTGTATGCACTGACTGTTCATGCCCAGCTTTCCTTCTGAGCAACTCCAGTGCCATTTTGGTAATGGGAATGTTTTGCATACAAATTAAAGCATTGGTCTTAATTGAAGCCACATTGGTTCTGTAGCCAGACAACCAATCTTGAGCAGCTGATGTTGCAAAGCTACATTAGTTCCTTCAGGACTTGGCTGGTAACTCTTTTCTCTCGAGTCATGTGTCTGGTCAGTTCCCACCCAGTCCCATGCGCTGACCTCCATTACACACAGAGGTCTGATTCAGACACAGTCATCTACCACAACCAGCGTCAGTGAACTGGTTCGGGAGGAACCAAATATTGGTCTTTGGGGTACCACATTCATATTTTCATGAGTCATCTTAGTTTTTATTGCACAATCTCGGCAGAGAGCTGTGATAATACTTTAAATTAAAAAAAGTACGTAGTCTTTTCCTTCCAGGCAATCTTTTCTTCAAATAAGTCAAACTTGAAACCTGCTCCTAACATTAGACTTACCAGTCCTACCTCCATTTTGATTTATGGGTTGGCACCCTGTCTAAATTGTTTTTTTTTCTTTTAAAGAGTCTGTCCTGAATGTCAAACAGCAATCCTTGGTCTAAACACACACATCTCTCAATCAAAGGATTTGGCATTAATGATACAGTAAAAATCCAGTATAATACTGTCTTCCGGCTCATCTAATTGCTTGTTCATTAAATTGGATACAAAATTGTCACCTACCGTCAAGCCAGAGGGTTGTTGCTCAAACTAGAGGCCTGTGACCCGCGGTGTGCCGCAAGGATCGGTGCTGGGACTTCTGTTCGACCATTTATACAAATGATTGGGGGTGAGTGTGTGTGTGTGTGTGTGTGTGTGTGAGTGAGTGTGATTCATATGGTCATGAGTTCTGACCAGAAGTATCAAGGACAGAAGGAGAGAGGAAGGTTTAATATAATACTTGAAACATTTTGAAATATTGCTTTTAAGTACTGAATGTTTACTGGTAACTTGCCAGTCTATGGTGGTAGGAGTTCTATGTTGTTATATTTTCTATCACCATCTCCATCACTCAACTTTATACCAAGTTCAGAATCACAGTGAGTCCACCTCCCTAACAACAAACTTATTATTCAGGATGCCAAGACTGTAATGCAGGTTCTTTTTCACATTTGTCTTTTGGCATCCGAGCACTTAAAAGATATAGGCTTGTAGCTCACTGCCAACTTTATGCAGTGGTTTCTAACACAATAGGTGTCCAGGGTAGAAATGTTATTTTGTGTAGCAAAAGCTTACTAATGAGGACATTCAGTTAGTGCATTAATAAATGAGAATTTAGTCAATTGTAGGCCTTTCAGCTGTGCATCTTGTCACCAGACACACTTTGGGAGTCACTGCAAGGTAAAAACACTTTGGTCAGAGAGTCCACGATATACAGACCCTTTGGCCAAACTTGTCCATACCGATCAGGTTCCCGATACTGAACTGTTCCCATTTGGCGCATGTTCCTCTGAACCTTTTCTATTCATGTCGCTGCCCAAATGCCTTTTAAATATTGTAATTGTACCCACCTCTAATACTTCCTCTGGCAGCTCGTTCCACATACACACCACCCTCTGTGAAAAAGTTGCCCCTTTAGGTCCCTTTTTAAATCTTTCCCCTCTCAACTTAAGCCTGTTACCTCACACTTTTGAACTTGAAGTTGGATATTCTGGCTGAGACATGGGGACGCTTTGAACGTGCGTGCTGCTGATATGAGATCTTTGTTAGTAATCAATCTATTAGGTCCTGTCAAAGCGCACTTATGGGATAGTTACGACTTGATCCATGAATTGTTGTGTGATATGCTGCCAGTGTGATACTGTTTATCACTTGTTCAGTGATCTGTAACCATCCATACTTGCTGTTTAAACATGTCTTTGCACAGTATATAATCTAAGATTGCACTGTTGGACATTCCCTTTGAACTAAACCTATCAGAAAAATAACTCAAATCTGTAATTGGTGATGCAGTATTGGGTTTTTTGTTTGAAAGTAAAGACCTCTTTAACCACCAGAAATTATCCAGCTTGGTCAGAAGAATAGAAATGCAGATTTTTTTTAAATTAAAACTTCTGACACTAATAGATGTCAGTATTGAGATTTTTGGAGTCTGTGCACAAATCGCAGAAGGTTCACCTGCAATTATACCAAATAATCCAGAGGCAAATTATACTTTAGCCTTTATCAAAAAACTTTTGGAGTGCAAGATTAGAGGCAGTTTTACAGCAGTTTCATAGATCTTTGGTGGCATCACAACAGGAGAGGACAGTTTTAGTAGACTTGGCCAAGAGATTTTGTTTTTGCCTTGGTGGGAGTCCTGTACAGTGAAAGTTCACTTATTCAATATCTGGGATGAGTGTGGTATCCTGTGGGAAGAGATTGAGCAAAATTCTTAGGATTTCAGAATATGAGATGGTTTCGTTAAACCAAATATGAAATTTGTAGAGCTTGGAGGTATGTGCTGAGAGGCAGCTTCCCTTGGCAGAAGCATTCAGAACTAGGGTTATTGCTTCAGGATAACTGATCAACTATTTAGGGCTGAGATGAGGAAAATATCATAATTCAGGGTTATAAATCTTTGGATGCTGTACCTGTGGTGGTTTTGTCTTGTTTCTTTTGCAAAGGAGTGTTGTCACAGTGGTGCTGAAGTATCTCCTTCGGACAGGCAGTGGTAAACAACTTTGAATTCTTGCTGGGTGTTTTTTTTTTTAAGCCAAAAGAATCATGAGCAGGCAGGGTCAGGGCTCAAACAGATTCAGGAAGGCTTTTAGTTTTACTTGCAGTTCGGCGAAGGTTTCTGCTCGCTGCTGGAGCTAAAAGTTTGCGTTCTCTGCTGCTAGAATGAAGACTTAGATAGTGAGGCTTCCTGTTAAAAATCAAAAGGGACAGATTGTTTTATTTTGCTGTTTCTTCTGGACTGGAGTGGGACAGCACATGAGAATCATCACTTTTGCTGAATTGCATTTTTTGCCAAAGATTGTGTTTGTGGGATGCTGTCTACATTGGAACAGTTTATTACTGGTTAAATAATACATTATTTCATTAAGTATTTGAATAGAGGTTGGATGGCTCGCCGAGCTGGTTTGTTGTTCCGCAGATGTTTCGTTACCGTGCTTGGTAACATCCTCAGGGCAGCCTCTGATGAAGCGTCGGTGTGTTTTCCTGCCTGGTTTTTAAACTCTGGGGTCCGTTGCGATGGATTGCCTCACTTCCGGGTTTCCTCCATAGTGGAATGTATATGGGGTCGAGTTCAATGTGTTTATTAATAGCATGCTTCGTGGAGTGCCATGCTTCCTGGAATTCTCGTGCTTGTCTCCGCCTAGCCTGTCCCAGTCGAAGCCGTGGTTCTCCTTGTTCACGTGGATTGAGATGAGTGAGTATTGGTCGTGTCTTTTTGTAGCCAGTTGGTGTTCATGTACTGTTGTTGTTAGTTTCCTTCCTGTTTGTCAGATGTAGTGTTTCTCGCAGTCTCTGCAGGGGATCTTGTAGATGACATTGGTCCTGTCCATGGCGGGGAGTGCTTCTATCTGCTCACGTCACATCTGCTAGAAAGGGAAATTTCCATTGTTGTCAGTTAAGGATGTGATCAGGCTGTATAGCAGTGTTTCCTCCACAGGAAATAACCTGTTGGCTATGCTGAACCACTTCATCAGCGTTTCCATTCAAATACCAGTGTGAACCAATCTCGAAGAAAGGGCAAGAAATGATTTTTGAAAATTGCATTAACTTTGGTCATGAAATTTTTCCTGCCCTCAGGCTGGAGTGGAGACAGGATAATTACTAAGAGCGCCACAGTCGTCATGTAGTATGAAAGCTTAATATTTGCCACATTGATGTTATTTTTCCTCCTTTCGTAATGTTTGAAAGCTGGCTGTAGCCACTGCAGTCATGTTTGAATATTGGAGTGTTTTGGTTGGTGAAAAACAAATTTCCTTGTGTCTTAAAGCTCAGAGGTTGGAATATACCTAACTTGCTCAAACCACTGTGGTTTTTCAGTTTAAACATTGCTAGGCTTAACATTTTGAGAAGTTCAAGGCAGTGCAATTTAAATTATTACTAGGTTCCCAGCTTCGTCAGTTTATACAGTAGAAACTTTTATTAGCCTTTTTAAAAATGATTTTAGGGGCAGGGATCTTTGCACAATAAAGTATGTAATCAATGATTTGTTTTCTAGTAGGTAACCTCAAAATGGTGAATGCTGTTGGAGAGGGTGCTGTATGTTAAAAATCATTAGACCGCATTAATCATGGCAACTCTGTACAAAGACACCATGTATAATCATGACTTGAGGCTAATCTGAGTGAAACTAACACCATACCTACAACAGCAAGTCAAAACTTAATTCATACCACTATATTAGAATGATTTCTCATTTCTTGGAGTGTTTGCAACTCTACTGTGAACCACTTCGAGCAGTGCTGTAAGTCTGATGCCATGCACTAGCTGGAGAATTCTTTGCTATGTTTTGAAATGGTTAGATTGTCTCACTCCCATTCCTAAACAGCAGAAATTGTTTACACCCTCACTACTTCCAAATGTCGCAGTTTATTTTCCATTTGTTTTGGTAACCATTTGTTTGTTTGTTTACAGGATTTATGAATAAAATTTTCCATCCGAACATTGATGAAGCGTAAGTAACATTTTTTTCCTGCAGTGTGTAAGGAAATATTTTGGGATGAGGAGAGAACAAATTGGGTAATTGAGTTGACAGTGACTTCTAACTTCAAGAGATGATATTGTTCGAGAGTGGGTTTAGAGGATGTTACAGTTCGTGTCTAAATTGTACGAAATCTAAATGCATGTCATTACTACTAATTGCTCACCTTCACTAAAATAAGCTCCATTGCACATAAAATAAAATAGTTGAGAGCTGAGCTCCCAGATGAAATTACAAGATGTCGTCGTCCCTGGAGCCATACACTACCATGGTGATGCTGCCTTTGGGAAAAGGAGGTTTGGGGGATAAATTGAGAAAGTATATGGGAAAGAAGAGGGGGCTATTTTATTTCTAAAGTTCAGAAGCATAAATAACTAGTTTAAGCCAAAAGACCAAGTAGGTAGGAGCAAGCCTGCTCTGCCATTCAACATGATTGTGGTGGATCCTCTATCTCAATGCCATGCTCTAGCGTTCTCCCTACATCTCCTTGATACCTTGAGCCTCTCTAAATCAGTCTTTCTTTTAAGTGTATTCAGTGACTTGACCTCTCCAGACTTCTGTGGTAGAAAATCCTACGGATTCACAATCTCCTGATTGAAGGAACTTCTTGTCTTAGTCCAAAGTGGCCTGCCATGTACTGTGTGACTGTGACCCTTTGATTTTGGAGCCCTTGTATATCAGCTAAATTTGAAACTTTCTGCAGTCTGCCTGCAGTAGGCTTGCTATTTTGTATAGGAACTTCATATGACTCCTTTGGATCTTGTACTACCCTTGATTTATTTTGTTACTCATGGCTGGGTCACATTTTCTGTTGTATTCTTCTGCCCAAAAGGAATATATTACTGTTCCAATGTATGCACTGGTTCCTTAAATATTAGCCATTGCCTATTAATGGAGTTGTCCAGTCTGTCACAGCTGACTCACCCTCTAACCTTGCAGTTTCTTTTTAGGTTTAGGACTCCAGTTTCAGATTGGGTTGATTTTAAACCCAAATGAAGAATTCTATCAACTTGCTGTGCTCACTTTTTCCTAAAGGACTTCTCACAAAGCTATTTAAATAAAAAAGCCTTCTAATTACACACCACCGAATTTAGGATATCCTGTTCCCTTGTCGGTTCTTCAATGTACTTGTCTAAAAAGATACTGTACACACTCTAGGAATTCATCCACTGCAGTGGTTAACTTAGTCTCTATGTAGACACCATCCATGATAACTGTAGCACCCTTTGTTGCATACATTCCTAATTTCCTGTAATGCCACTCTTACTTTATCACTGCTATTTGGAGGCTTGTAGACAGCACCCATGGATATTTTCTGCCCCTTTTGCTGCTTCACTACAAATGTGTTTTTTTTTATTGTTTTTGAAACTTAATTAAGTAGTATCAAAATTACAACCTAATACAACTGAGGGTGGGGTGAATTCTTCACTTCAATTTTTCTTTTTTTCAAGCTTGTTCTGTTCAATGTTATTTCCGGTTCATTGCCATCAATCACTGCTGTAAGCAGACCACTTTTACAGGAACAGACATTGTACTGCCTTACATCTGTATATTTGATGGCAAAACCCGGAGGTGCATCAGTCATCCACCCGTAAGAGCTAAGCTAGAGGTTCATGTTTTCTCACGTTGGGTCATACCATTGTAGGGCGAAAACATCTTGATTAAAATAAGACCAAATGTTAATCTATGTGAAATAAGACAACTTAGAAATTCAATGTACAGTTCAGCATTTGGCCACAGTTAAACAGAGAAATTTATAATGTAAAAATTAAAGGTAAAGTCACCATAGCCTTGCAGATCATAAGACTGCTCTCAATAGAGACAACTGGTGTTGTTTTAATCTGAAGGTCACCACGTCTCGGAGCGGGGAGGGGTTGAGAAATGTCCTTCATCGTCACCTCAGCTGGTGCGAGAATTGAATTTACACTGGCATCGTTCTGGATCTCAAACTGAACCAACTGAGACTAAACTTACGCAGTGTAATATAAAATGTGCACTGCTTCCCCAGGCCAATGGATTGTTCCATTTTACTTCAAGATGACTTCTGGTTACTGACTAAAATTTCTAAATATTTCATTTTAGCTTTGACAAAATATCTTCTAGTATTCTCTTTAGAAACCTAACTACCATTGCTGTCCAATTTGGATCTGATTTTTATTTCCTTTTTTAACCCCCTTCCACTTTGCAGCAGCAAAATGAAAACTACTTCTGAATGCCAGACATTCAGAGACTTCCATTGCTGTGGATGTGAGGTGTTTATTGATTGTCAAGAAAATCTAATAATTGCTTGTTGCTTTTTAATCATGAAAAGTGACTCCATTAGTGTACCATTGATTCATCTAGCTCCTCTTTTATTGTACTTGTTTACATCAAAATGTTTTCACACAATTTGAAGACCATTCTTTGCAAATCATTTAAACTTGGCAAAACAAAACAAAGTGACCAGTCTTCATTTTAGTGCTAAGAATTAGTAATGTTACATTTAACAATTCAGACCCTCCAGATTTTAATTGTCTTGGTGGCTTGTGTGCATTTTGAACACATGAGATATTTTGCAGTTATGAATAAAGAAAAATCATAGCTCTGAAATGTAATGGCTTCACTGGCATTTGTGTTCTGGTAGGAATAGTGATTAATCTCCAAAGGATTTCTCCCTCACCCACCTGTACACTTATTGCATCTATCTCCAGATTCTAAAAGGAGCATTGATCAAGTGGAGAAATTCTGTAGCCAAGATGAAGTTGTCTCTCTCTCATGCAAATATTTTTATATTTCCAATTAATCATCCTGAAAACTGTATTCCTTTATCGCCACAGTGACTTTACTCTTTCTTCCATTGTTGTGGACTGTTTGCCTAAAACCTAGCATTGCAAGTTATTAGATAAATATATTTTGGCATTCTGATATCTATTAAGGAGAATGTTCTCGCATAGAACTCAGCCTATTTTGAATGTTGCTGAACGTGGTTCTAATATGGTCCTTGAATAAGGTTGTGCGTTACAAGATTTTATTTGTCTAACTTGTTTCAGGCATCCCTCTTTCACTTTTATTTCTAGATCAGGAACCGTATGTCTAGATGTAATTAACCAGACATGGACAGCTCTTTATGGTGAGTAGTAAAAACAAATAGGAATTTTAAATCCATTTTTCTTTTAACTGGATGTCAGCTGTAATCCTGCAATAGGTGGAGCTAGAGTTCGTGTCTTGACTGTTGAGGTGAGAGCAAAGTGACTGTGTATCTTAAGTATATTTCTGCTCCACATAACTGATCTTGCTGTTGTGTTCCCAAACCTAGTAAACCACAATCGATGATGGGCTTAGCAAAATAATGCTAGAAGCCAAAATTGAAACATTAACTTATTAGCATTCAGTTTTGTACCACTTTATTTACTCATTCTATGGAATATGGGCTTTGCTGGCTGGGCCAGCATTTATTGCCCTTCCTAATTGCCCTCTAAGGTGGTGGTAAACTTCCTCCTTGAAGTGCTTCAGTCTACTTGGTGTAGATACACCCACAATATTGTTAGGACTGGAATTCCAGGATTTTGATCCAGCAAAAGTGAGGGGATGGTGATATATCTCCAAGTCAGGATGGTGTGTCATTTGAAATCAATGTATCTGATGCCCTTGTTCTTCAAATGGTAATGATCATCGTTTGGAAAATGTAGTTTCAGAGCCCTTGGTGAATTCCTGCAGTGCATCTTGAAGATGGTAGGGACTGCTATTCCTGTGCATCGATGGAGGGAGTGAATGCCTATGGGTGTGGTTCTGATGAAGTGGTTGCTTTGTCTTTGATTATGTCAAGCTTCTTGATTGTTGGAGCTGCATCTGTTGAGGAAAGTGAGGAGAGTTCCATCGCATTCTTGACTTGTGCCTTGTAAATGGTAGTCGGGAAGAGAGTGCCTCACTGCAGGATTTGTAGCCTATGACCTGCTCTTGTGATATACAGTATTTGTATGGCTATGCCAGTTCAGTCTCTGGCCAATGGGATATTAATCATGAGGTATTCAGCACTAGGAATGCCATTGAATGTCACAGGTTGATGGTTAAATTCTGTCATTGGCAATGGTCATTGGCACTTGTGTAATATGAATGTTATTTGCCAGTTGTCAGCCCTAACCTAGATGTTGTCCAGAATTCGCTGCAGAGCAGAAGTGATGAAGTTAATCTCTGTTCAAATATCTTTTATTCCAAGATGGATTTGAGATGATTTTTTGATCTGCTTAACTGCTGAATTTATTTTTATTGTAGACTATCCCTCAGTAAACTGTCTAATCATAAAATGTTTATGAATTTTTGTACCCTGCTTTGACTTTATTATATGCCTCAGTGACTATTGAAAAAAATCAAACTGCAGTAAGAAACAGCAATATTCACTGCAGACAACTGGAATGGCAGCACAAGTTGGTAATGAAAGTGAGAATTTGTTGCAAAGCAAAGCGTTTTGGATTCCGTCATTTATCGTTTCATGAAAAGTGTTTTACCATTGTGCTAACACTGTGGAGCTGGAGGAACACAGCAGGCCAGGCACCATCAGAGGAGCAGGAAAGTTGATGTTTCGAGTTGGGATCCTGGCTGCCTAGCCTGCTGTGTTCCTCCAGCTCCCCACACACTATCTCTGACTCCGGCATCAGCAGTTCTTACTATCTCAGTGAATTTTACCATTTGTGAAGCTGCTTTGAAGTGGAGATACACAGATGCATTTCACCTACACTTGATTAGGAATAGTAGGCAAAAGTATTTTTTCTAATTAATTGGAAGCACAATTTTTAAAATGTTATGGTTTAGGCTTATTGACTTTTCAAAAAGAAATGCAGCGGTGTAGTTTCAGAGATGAGGAAGGAATATTTTGGGGCTTGGCCTTGATCAGTCAGCTGAAAAAATAATCATTGGAGAAATGAGCACACAGCACAATCAAGATTTTCAAAATGCTGAGAAGATGCGATCATGTAGCTGTGAAGTGATTCCGTATAACCTGCAGCAAGCTATTGGCAGGAAAGGGATGTTGAGACTCTTTAAATTGCAGTAGCTGTTTAGAATAGGCAAGGCAACAATCAAAAATAGTCTTTGTTTCTGAGAGAAAGGAACTAATATTCCTTAGCAGCTGGTTTTGAAAGCCGTTGATAACCTAGGATAAATATAGACAAATTAAATATACCACGGAAAATTGATTCAGTTTTAACATAGTGATGCCACCTGTGGAATAAAACTGCTGCTGTCAGAAAGAAAAGCTTCTTGTGTGTCTCCTAGTGTGTTGCTATATGGTGTGCATGGGCCCAGCAAAGGCCTTCAGAATTCTCAGTGAAGAGATACTCTGTCAATTGACATCAGTTATTAACTGAAACAGTTCCATCTTTAGTCTGCATTATCTTCAAAATGCTTGTTTCAGTACTTCCTGGATCTCAAACATTTTAGTGTCATGCAATCCAGGATGACACGCAATTTTCTGGATTCATCTGGCTGAAATTTTATTTTAATCAAGCTTCTGCTTATATTGCTGTTCAATTCCAAGAGATGCGTATTTGTGTGCTGAGCAGTAAGTTAACAGAAGTGGAGGGTGAGTTCTGCCAAAACTGGTTGGCTTGCGGATTGCTAATGGAACATTGTCTCACTATTTTGCTGCAGCACAGTATGTAACATATATGACATTTTTACCTTTCTCCTTACAACCTTTGAATTGCAAATTAAGGCAGTTAATATGCAGCAGTGTAGCTAAATATTTATCATACTTAGATGAGTTTTACCAGCAGTTAATTTGCTTTAACCTGGAGTAAATTTCTGATGGTTAGAGCTTTGAGTCAGTTATACAGCACAGAAACAGACCCTTCGGCCCAACTCATCCATGCCGACCAGATATCCTAAATAAATCTAGTCCCATTTGGCCTATATCCTTCTAAACCTTTCCTATTCATATACCTATCCAGATGCCTTTCAAATGTTATAATTGTACCAGCCTCTTGCACCACCCCTGGCAGCTCATTCAATGCACGCACCACCCTCTGTGTGTAAATGTTCCCCCTTAGATCCCTTTTTTAAATCTTCTGCGTCTTTCCTTAAACCTGTGCCTTCTAGTTTTGGACTTCTACGGTGGGAAAAAGAGCTCGGCTATTCACCTTGCCTGTGTCCATCATGATTTTATGAACCTCCATAAATTCACCCCTCAGCGTCTGCCCCAGGGAAAAGAGCCCCAGCCTATTACTTCCATTTTCAGGATTTGCCCCCTGGCTGGCTGGCTGACTGACTGACTGACTGACTGGGAGATCTTTCTTTAAGTTGCCATTTCACAAGTTTAAATGGCTATGATGTTTGGTTTTGTGAACTTGTTGAAAAGAGGTTGAAGTGCAATAAACAGCTGGTGCCATTCTGAAGTTTTAGAAAAAAAATGTCATTTGGTCCAAGTATTATGTTTGAGTAGTTGCAATCGCGCTATGTTGTTAAACAATAGTCAATGTAAAAGTAAATGAGACTACTTGGACATTTTTAGATCTGAGAAAAACCTGATTTCCTATAAAAAATGATTAATATAGCAAAGGAGGTGCCCATTTGGCCTCTTGTTACAATTCTATTAGTCAGTTGAACGATCCATTTTCTCTTTCCTTATAATAATGTAACTTTTTTTATCCCTTTACATGTTTTTCCAGTTCCTAAAATGTTAGTATTCGATTTTTTTCCACCTCCTTCCAAACTGGGCCAGATTTCAGAAAATTTAAGTTTTGTGTTGCATTATGGTACTCACACATTTTACATGAGTATTTTCACACCTTGCAAGATGAGATACAATGAGAGATAGTAGGAACTGCAGATGCTGGAGAATCCGAGACAACAAGGTGCAGGGCTGGATGAACACAGCAGGCCAAGCAGCATCATAGGAGCAGAAAGGCTGACGTTTCGGGCCGAGACCCTTCATCAGAAAAGGGGGAGGGGAAGGGGGTTCTGAAATAAATAGGGAGAGAGTGGGAGGTGGATAGAAGATGGATAGAGGAGAGGATAGGTGGAGAGGAAACAAACAGGTTGAAGAGGCGGGGATGGAGCCAGTAAAGGTGAATGTAGGTGGGGAGTTAGGGAGGGGATAGGTCAGTCCAGGGAGGATGGACAGGTCAAGGGGGCGGAATGAGGTTAGTCGGTAGGAGATGGGGGTGCGGCTTGAGGTGGGAGGAGGGGATAGGTGGGAGGAAGAACAGGTTAGGGAGGCAGGGACAAGCTGGACTGGTTTTGGGATGCGGTAGGTGGAGGGGAGATTTTGAAGCTTGTGAAATCCACATTGATACCGTTGGGCTGTTCCCAAGCGGAATATGAGTTGCTGTTCCTGCAACGTTCGGGTGGCATCGTTGTGGCACTGCAGGAGGCCCAGGATGGACATGTCGTCTGAGGAATGGGAGGGGGAGTTGAAATGGTTCGCGACTGGGAGATGCAGTTGTTTATTGCGAACCGAGCGTAGGTGTTCTGCAAAGCGGTCCCCAAGCCTCCGCTTGGTTCTCCCGATGTAGAGGAAGCCACACCGGGTACAGCGGATGCAGTATACCACATTGGCAGATGTGCAGGTGAACATCTGCTTGATGTGGAAAGTCTTCTTGGGGCCTGGGATGGGGGTGAGGGAGGAGGTATGGGGGCAGGTGTAGCACTTCCTGCGGTTGCAGGGAAAAGTGCCGGGTGTGGTGGAGCTGGAGGGGAGTGTGGAGCGGACAAGGGAGTCACGGAGAGAGTGGTCCCTCCGGAAAACAGATAGGGGTGGGGAGGGAAAGATGTCTTTGGTGGTGGGGTCGGATTGTAGATGGCGGAAGTGTCGGAGGATGATGCGTTGGATCCGGAGGTTGGTGGGGTGGTACGTGAGGACGAGGGGGATTCTTTTTTGGTTTTTATTGCGTGGACGGGGTGTGAGGGATGAGGTGCGGGAGATGTGGGAGACACGGTTGAGGGCGTTCTCGACCACCGAGGAGGGGAAGTTACGGTCCTTGAAAAACGAGGACAACTGAGATGTACGGGAGTGGAATGCCTCATCCTGGGAGCAGATGCGGCGGAGGCGAAGGAATTGGGAATAGGGGATAGCATTTTTGCAGGAAGGTGGGTGGGAGGAGGAGTATTCTAGGTAGCTGTGGGAGTCGGTGGGCT